AACATTGGTACTTTTCATAATCAATATTTATATAGATCGGAACTAGAGCATACAAGTTCGTGCAGAAGACACATATATGTGTGCGTGCTCTTATATGATTTAACACCCGCCTAAAATCTTTAGACTCTCCCTAAAATAAATCGCGTTTTATCTCAAATAAAATGTAATACCAAATGTTTGAAATAATCGAATTTTTTTTATATATTATGTTCGCAGCTCAAAGATGCAAAAAGTATGTATATGTGGAGAAACTATTTGCATCTGGATTGGCGCTATATACACACGTCACTACATTCTATTAAAAATTAAAGATTAATACGAATTTGTGTGTGTGTGTGTGTGTGTGTGTGTGTGTGTGCGCGCGCGCGCGCGCGTGCGCGTGCGCGCGCATGGATCCAATAAGTGGTGAGATGTGCCAAACAAGAATACGATTTATTGTATGTTACCAAGTTACTTTTATATGCTATGCATTGCATATACCTACACTATCAAAAACTTCGATAAATTTACATAACTAAGATGTAAAAATTATATGATAAATAAAGGAAATTGTATACTAATTGTAAGTGAATAGTATAAAATTTATGAAATTATGTAAATTTACATTATATATTTAGTAAATTTCTGCTATTTATCGTGTAATTTTTACATCTTAATTGTGTAAATTTATCCATTTTTTTTACAACGTATATGTATGCGCGCGAATCACCGTTGTGCGAGCACAAATATATATACGTATATGTGTTATACGCGCGCATGTGTGTATGTGTATTTGTGTGGAACGAATGAGCGCGTGTATCTCTCTTTCGTTTGATGTACGTAGCGTATACACACGCAAGGTGAATCAAGGTATATTCATACAAGAGCATTAGGAATGTACGTGTATCGTATGCATACACTGACCTGGATATGTGGCACGAATGTACACACACGTCCATAATGGCATACGCATCGAGAAAGATCACGATCCGCTCCCCCCCCCCTCCCCCCCGACTGTGCACTTCAATTAATTCACTATGAATGAATACTATTAATACTCTGTTGACTATTAATAGTATAAATATAACAATGTCATCATGTGAGGTATAAAGTATAAATTGCATAAATGTGCGTATTGAGTAATGATTATTTTCTGTTTCACAAATAGGTTTAATTTGGAAAACTTATAGGAAAGAAAGACTTGTAAAATCTATTTTATTATTTTCTTCATTATATTTTGCAATATATTTTCAATTTTTAATTTTATTGTATCAACATTTTTGATTGCTAATTTTTATTAGTTTTGACAAGTTAGCGATTGAAAAAATTTATATTTTTAACAACAAAAACTATTACATTTAGTGAACATTTAACTGTCTATTTCTACATGAATCAATAGTCAAGCTTAATTTTAATTTAATTTGGTTTGTGATCTTTCTCAACCGTAGACTACGATTGTATATATAGTGTTCTTGCCGTTGTTGTTAATTAAAATATATGATGAGACAGGGTTCGCTTTGTAATCGAAGGGCAAAACTTGTGCACCTTCCTTTGAAATTTATCTGAAAAACTATCTCCCATATCCCCCGTACATTGCTGCAGCGATCCGTCCATCCTTTCGGCTGTCAACGCGAATACATGCAGAGTTGCTTTTAGACAACAAATGACGACATACAAGAAAGAAGCAGGATTATTGTAATGTTAGCGTTCCGGTACGAAACCTTCGTTCTCGCGGGCGAGATTTAGTATTTAAACGCAGATAAACGGCGTTTATTAATTGCTGTTGCGATTGTTAAAGAGTTAGGAGCATAATAGTCGCACACCATGTACGAGAGAGAGAAAGTTCTTTCCGATAAACTTTTTCTCCAAGTGTTAATTATTTCAATATAAATATTTTATTGTTAGTTCAGAAATATAATTGAGGATATATTCCATATATATGTATATACGTATATAACTTTGTTTATATATATATCGCTTTGTTTCATAATAAAGCAAGATATTATGTCGATAACTACTATCGAGTTCATAAAGTTCAAACATTTTCGAATCGAACAAAATCTATCGGAATACAAGTACATAAAACGTACAAGAGATTAGATTCATATTTGAATCAATTCTACAATTTACGACTCAAAACCACAGCACATACTTGATGCTGTATATGATTGTTCTGATTTTTGTTCTATATCTACATTAAATAAAATTTAGAGAATCAAAACACGATAAACACGCTTATTTAAAAGCACAGCTTCCGTCTGCTTTGCTAGATTCAAACTTTTCTTGTTATTCTCGAGACACACTAAACTGCAAATAATGTCTTGTAGGTGTAATATAGAACAAGATGGTATAACGAAGTTGTAATGTTAATTACTTTATGATTTTGCGTCACGTTGAACGTGCTACGCATATAATATATAGTGTGTATGCGTATGTGTGTGTGTGTGTGTGTGTGTGTGTGTGTGTGTGTGTGTGTGTGTGTGTGTGTGTGTGTGTGTGTGTGTGTATATATATATATATATACATACACGTATATAATATATATATAATATACACCATACACAAACATCTAATGTGAGCGCATGAATATAAATATACGCAACCCGTAAGTATTTCTATACATGATGGGCGTTTGCTACATGTCAATAAAATTCACATTGTAAAAAGCTGTTAAAGTTGCCACTATGATGAACATAATAAATCGATAAACACAAGCGTGTAAAGTGAAATCTAGCGGCATTTATCAAACTTGCCGTGCGTTATGTTTTCAGTGAATTATACGAAACAATTTTATTGTTTGTGTAAATTTATAAAGATATTGTCAGCACAATTGATAATAAGTTTCAATGAAGGCTGCCATATGTAAGCGAATCAGCTACGGTCCATGGAATTCTAATAGAATACATAATTTGGTAAAAAAATGCAACATATATTTTTATTTTGATTCTTTTTCAAAAAGTTCTTATAAAACATTTGTGAAATAATATTTGTTATTATAATATTGTATAATATTGTTTATTTGCGAGAATGCGTCATTATTTTCGCGGAGTGTAAAAATTATTGGATAATATTTTAGACTTCAATTCTTTGACGATTTTGAAATCACTCAAGCCATTATTATTTGACGTTATTTTGTCATCATAATAACCGATTATGACATCATGATTAGTAATTAGAACGACAAAAACACATCAGAAAATGACCGCTTGCTACTTGGACAATTTCTCTTAGTCAAGAAGATTTTCCATTTTTAATAGTAAATACATATTAGTAATGTTGTGTTATTATAAATATTATTTTGACATTATAAATTATATTAATGTAAGAGTAAATATAAGAGAGAGAGAGAGAGAGAGAGAGAGAGAGAGTATGTAGTATTATACATTTTTGTTGTAAACTAATCAAAATTCTATTGAAAGTAAGATCTATTTGTATTTATTTAGGTAAAAACCAATTTTTAATCATTTCTAAACCCATTAATAATTTCTGATCCATAGTCAATTACAACTTAAAAATTATTTATATCTGTTATTTTTCATTCAAAAACAATATATTCAAAATTACTTTAAGGGTTCATATCTAAAATATTATAAATATTCGATAATTTCGAGATTTTATCGACGTTATCTATTATTGATATACGTCTGTGTGCAATATTATAATATTGTAACTCTTAAAAATCGCTGTGTTTAATATATTCTGTATTATGTTGTGCCTAATAATAACCAATATCATGCAACATTATTTGTATCGCCATATTCTGGTATGCGAGATATAAAGCAACATAGATTGCCGCTTTCATTTTTTTTCATTCAAAATTGACAAGACAAAATTTCATAAGACTCACCGTAGGTGCGTAGCAGTCTGGTTCGCTGTGTTTAATAATTAAATCTCTTAATAATGCAACTGTGTGTTATCTCAGCTGGAAAAGCAGCAGTCTTGCATACTGCGAATACATAGCCTACACATTCAAGTATTCGTACCGAAAGCTCTCACAACTGGTGTCGCTATAGCTGAAATTACGTACAAAGTTGCGGAGACTGCCCGATTTGCCGAATCGTTGTTTGGATGAATCGCGGAAAGAAACGTTTGTTATGCACATTATGTGACGATTCTCGTCCGTTACACTTCATATTACCGTCTGCAGCGCGAAATTGTCTGACGAACAATCATAGGTCTGTTTTTTATAGCTGAACTGGCTGCACTAGTTCAGAGTTTATCTTTCTTCTTCCAATGTGGAGGGAAAAAGATAAACTCTGAACTAGTACAGCCAGTTCAGCTATAAAGAACAGACCTCATGTTCGATATGTTGACCGATCCGGAACGTAAATCACGCTTCTATCGAAAGGCGCAATCGCGCGCCCTTTTTAAAACAGTGTGATAAGCGACCTATTATCGGAGACAAAATCTAAAATAATACATTTTATGTAAAATTGGTACATGGTTGTAAATAATAGGTTATACGTTGTATATTACGCTTTGTGTACATTTTTATTATCCTTCTACATCTGAGAAACATGATTAATTAATTAATTAAATAATTAATTTAATTAATGTGATTTTTTATTTATTAGAAGAAAACTTCTATAGTATATTGTCACAATAGTTACAGACAAATTTCTTTAAAAATAATTTTTTAAATTAATCTATTTTATTGCTAATTTACATTTAAAAAAGTCGACTTGTCGACTTTGAAAAAATTAACTCTTTTATTTATAACAAATTTTCTGTGTATCTCAAAATAAACAAATATTATAGCAATAAATTATTGCGTGCAAAGAAATACAAATAAAATTTATTTTATCTATTCTTGTGCAGACGATCGGCACATTTGAACTGACCAATAAACGTACCTGAAATGGACAAATTTCACTCAATCAAATACAACCAATCAGATTCATTCGTTGTTCAAGCGTTCTCACTTTCTGAGAACGCTATCGAATGCTGCCAATTCTCAACGGCAACGACGGCATGTATCTATGTACGTATGTACATACATTGTATACGTCACCATTGCCATTCATTCGATTCATTCGTTGTGTACGATAGTCGCGAGACTTGTAGATTTGCTCGTTGTTCTAAGAGATTGTGCATGTGGCACATTGGACACATGTCTTGTATAGATTGGCTGTAATCATAAATGCATTTTTTGTAGCTAATATAATTTTAATAAAATTTTTGGAGGTACGTTTAGTGGAGTTGATCGGCAACTTGGTCAGGTTATCAACGAGATCTAAAGCCGCGCGTACATTGTTATAACATTATTTATTAATCATTTACTAGCATGCAGCAAGTTTGATCTTATCGTCTTTTGTATTAAATGTAATTGACAAATATTAAAATGTAATTGACAGCGAGTAAAGATTTGCCCCATATAAAATTTTCTTAACATTCAGCTTTTTCTTCGTGAAACGCGTTTTTATTAGATGTTTTGACAATTTTACTCAATTATTTTACAATAAATTGATTTTTTTTGAGAATTATAAATCATTGATAACATATATTTGATACTTGTTCTCTTACATGTTGCAGATGGGGTTCATATTTTTTTATATGCTCTTGTTATGCTCTACTCAACTCGGAGCAGAGAAGATCAACAAATATGTGACAACTTTAATAAATGCCAAATGGAATGAGACACCTCTCATTTTGGAAGCAGCTGAGTATCTTAGTGATGAAAATCCAAGTTACTTTTGGAAATTTATTGATGCATTTTCCAATAAAATTAATAATTTTGTAATAGGTAACTATTCAGTTATAGTTGAATTAATTTGGAAGTATTCATAGACCGATCATTCTCAATTTCTTTAATTTACTGCTTATAGGTACAGAAAAAGAAAATTACGATACAATTCTGGAACTGGCTAGCAAGTATTTATCTGAGTCAGAAATAGCAGTTTTTAAGTTAGGATTGTCTTTACGTGTTTATTCTGCACGTGTTGAAATGTTTTCTCAAATGGCTGTGAATAAAAATGTTTCTTCATATGAATGCGATAATGTTGTCGACATTGGTGGAACATTTACCTGTGCTTTAGATGACATAGATGAATTACTTAAACAGGTTTGTAATTTGCAATTTGTGTGTGTGTATATGTGTGTAAATAATGCATTGTAACTATTGTTTACTTTTCAGAATACATGGGAAACTGCAGATACTTATGATGTAGATCATCGATATTTAAGTACATCAGAATCGGATAAAGCAATAATATTGTATGGCCAAATTGGAACTTCTACTTTCATTCATTTTCATGAAAAGTTAAAAAACATAGCGGAAACAAAAGGGATCAATTATATTTTGCGTCATTATGTAAAGGTAGCAAAAATATAAATATATAGTGTGTGATGTAGAATATATATACAGTCAATATATATATGCACATAGAGAAAGTCGATAATGTGTGCTATTGCTGCTTATTGTTTTAAAAATAATTTACAGGATAGAACAAATAAGAAATTGTGTTTATCGGGCTATGGTGTAGAGTTGCAGATGAAGTCTACAGAATACAAAGCAACTGATGATTCTGACATTAAAGACAATACAGGAAAGAGTTCAGAAGTGACAAATGACGGCATGGAAGAAATTGAAGGAATCAACTTTATGACTTTAAAGTAAGGTGGTCAGTAAGAACGTAAGAGGTTCAGTTTATATTCCTTGTATAGAGTATAGCATTGTATTAATGTGATACAAAATATTATTTTTCCCAGAAAATTATATCCAGATCAACAAGCTGAACTGGATAAAATACAAACACATTTACTGGAAACTAGTCACGAAATTGGAGCTTTCAAAGTATGGCAATTTCAAGAACTAAGTCATCAAGCAGCTGAAAGAATAATGAAGTCCCCCTATGCAGAAGCATTAAACGTTTTAACTGATATATCACAGAATTTTCCTATGCAAGTATGTACTTTAAAGCAAATTCTGTATATCAGCTGGATATATACACATATGTACTAGTTGACATATTTTCGTATTACAGGCAAAATCGTTAATTAGAACCAAGGTGAATAGTGATATGAAAAAAGAAATGAAGTTAAATCAGGAAATATTCATGGCAAGTTTAAATATACAACCAACTGATACAGCTCTTTTTATCAATGGCTTATTTTTTGACCTGGAAGCCATTGATGTACTAACGCTTTTAGAATCTCTGAGAAGCGAATTACGAGTGATGGAAGCTCTTCATAAAATTGGTAGGATCTGCAGAACGTTATGTGTATATATATATATATTATTTTTTTTTTAATTTATTTATTTATTTAATAGATTAAAAGGTACATGTTCATTGAATTTTGATAAATTGTTACAGGCTTTACTAACAAAAAGATGAGTAAACTGCTAGCTTTGGATTTATCTGGAGGCACAGATAATCAAAACTTTGCAATGGATATAAGAGATTCTGCAATTAATTGGATCAACGATATTGAGAATGATTCACGTTATAGCAGATGGTCGCCATCGTTAACTGAATTATTACGACCAACCTTTCCTGGCATGCTGAGAAATATTAGAAGAAATTTGTATAATCTGGTTGATATCACTAAACTTGAAATAACTATACTATAATAATAATTTTATGTGAGATGTTACATATAATTTTTTATTTTCTTTTTTTTTTCAGGTATTAATTATCGATCCTCTGAATGAAGATTCAATGTCTCTAATAACTTTAGCACAATCTCTTTACGCACATTCAGCACCACTGAGAATAGGATTTGTCTTTGTGGCAAATTACAATACATCCGTAATTGGTTTAACGGATGCTAGTGTTGCAGTGAACAATGCATATCACTATTTTGCAGACACCAAGAGTACTAAAGAAGCTTTACATTTCTTAGCAGAGGTGAAACTTTGTATTAATGTAATTCTATCAGTAGTATTTTTATCAATGAAAAGTAACAAAATATATTTTTGTCTCAGTTAGGAAATTACATCGGGCCTTATGGTGCAAGCGTAGACGATATAAAAAAAGTTATTAGATCCAAGGACTCTTCCGCTAATATAAATTACATTCTCGGTGAAGAATCGGAATATGATGTAGGACGACATCTAACCAATGACTTTATAAAACGATGTGGTTTCAAAAAATTTCCACAAGCTTTGTTAAATGGTGTGCCTTTAACACCCAATCAGATAAATTCTGAATCATACGAGGAAGCCGTATTGTCTACTATTATGTCACAAACACCTATCATTCAAAAAGCAGTATATCGAGGTGAAGTAACCGAAGGAGACGATGTTGTTGATTTTCTTATGAGCCAACCCAATGTTATGCCACGGTGTGTAACTCACGATTAACTTTTCAAATTAATACGATAAATTTTGATTACTCTAGGATTCGATTATTTTGCTTTCTAGATTGAACGAGCGTATTTTGAAAGTGGACAAGAATGCGTGGTTAAATTTAATTGGCTCAATTCCTGAAGATGAGGATTACACCAAGTGGAGTATTCAAGATCTATCAACTTATTTGATGAAGAAGATACACTATTTTTTTGTACCACGTCGCAGTAATACGCATCACTTATTTTCTTTCTGGGTTGTAGCTGATTTAAAATCATTATCTGGCAGACAATTACTACGAGAAGCTCTTGAATATGTAGTACGTAGTACTACACTACTACTACTTGAAATCAAATTTTGTGTATATTGTAATACACAATATATTAAATTGTTATATGTACGTTTTTGTAGGAATCGAATACTGATGCGCGAGTTGGTATTATTATTAATGCAGAAAATGATGAAAATCTAAAATCTGATATTAATAAAATTGTCCTTTCTGCATTGAACGCATTATCACCAGAAAGAGCTATTCTTTATGTACGTAAAGTAAATCAAAGAAGACAATGCAGCTCTTATTGCGGATGGCAACTTTAACATTGAGGTAACATACACATACGCGCGCGTGCATGTGTCTGCGGATATATAGATGTGTCGAAAATGATCTCATTAATAATTCGATAATATTATCATAGGATGAATCCGTCATAGCAATGTTGGAAAATCAAAATCCGATATTATTGTTGCATCAGCATTACGTCACAAACGCTTTAAATTTAGAGACGGGAGCAAAAGCAATTTTGTGTAATGGTCGTGTCATTGGTCCCTTGGATAATGGCGAGGAATTCACAAGTGAAGACTTTTCTTTGTTAGAAAGATTTAGTCAAAGTACTTACGGCGATAAATTATTTATGAAATTAATAAAGGATCAAATCTTCAATGATGAATATGGTATTTAATGATAAATTGCTCAAGTTTAAAGACTTTTTAAACTTTACGATAAAGATAATGGAATATTTGTAACATTTTATTCAGAAGAAAATGACATCACGGATGATACGATTATGAAGATCACTTCGCTCCTAGTGCCACGACCACAAACTCGAAGTCGGTATGATGTTCCTTTCCATGGAGATGATCACAGGTAAATTACTCAAGTATTCTACAAAGTGTGTGAAACATAAATTATATATAATAAGAATGATTATTTCCATTTTGCAGTGTTATCAAGATTTTAGCGGCCAATCCTGATGAAGTTGCTTTCAACTTTATTGCTATTGCAGACCCAGTTTCACGCGGTGCTCAAAAATTGGGTCCAATATTGAAAACATTACAGCGAGCCTTAAATTGCAATATAAAGGTGTTCTTAAACTGCTTAGACAAAAATAGTGATATGCCATTGAAAAGGTAAAGTAACGCTTTATTTTCTCCTTATAATTTCTTTCCTGAATTGTGTACATATTTTCTCTTGTTCCAGTTTTTATCGATTTGTGCTCGAACCTGAGCTGCAGTTCACAACGGAAGGAAATATCAGTGGCTCTGTTGCAAAATTCACAAAACTCCCGACTTCGTCATTACTGACACAATATATTCACGCACCCGAAAATTGGCTGGTAGAAGTAGTTCGCAGTGTCTATGATTTAGATAACATCAAACTCGATAAAGTCGCGATGGGCGTTCACAGGTAAATATATTCAAATATGTACAATGAATTTGAGATTGTGGTTTATTTCGCTAATCTTTATACGTATATCGCAGCGAATACGAGTTGGAATATTTGTTGCTCGAAGGCCACTGCTTTGAAGCAGTAATGGGGAATCCACCGAGAGGCCTTCAATTCACATTAGGCACTGAGAAACAATCTGTGATGGTTGACACTATAGTAATGGCCAACTTGGGATACTTCCAGTTGAAGGCAAATCCCGGCGAATGGGTGTTGCGACTCCGGCAAGGACGCTCCGCAGAAATATACGACTTTACCACTGTCGACGGACAAGATGTTATTCAGAATGGCAACGATGTGAAAGTGCTAATAAGTTCTTTGAGGAGTCACGTGCTAAAAATCAAAGTTTCTAAGAAGCCAGACAAGACAGCAATGGATCTCTTATCAGACGACGAGAAGGATTCTGGATTGTGGAACTCTATTTCTAGGTACGTCCGATTAATTAGGCTACTTATATATTCCATGTTTAAATGAAATCTCCTATTGCTGTTACGGGTATTAGTACTCGACATGTGTAGCATGGTATTCCATTATCTTTTGACTTAACTTTTATTTATTCTCTCTTTTTTAGCATTGCCAAATTTTGGTAAGCTTCTCATTATTATATAGTTAAGTACAGCCATAACTTTTTATATCAATATAATTGAATGCGAAAAAGATCCACACAAAAAATAAATACGTATGCGTTACAAAAAAGAATATCTTTGTGTGACTTGAAATTGTAACATCCGCAACTTTACAGTTAAAAAATTACAGTCAATCCGCAATGTTAATATGCTCCCAATTATCATTTACAAATCATTTACAGCTGCTCTAATTACAATTTACTATAATATAAAGTTATATTTTTGTCTTTGACCTGTTTTTCTATTAGGTATCTTATTCTGTAGCATATCGTATTAATGCCTTGATAATGATGTATGAATCGGAATACCTTATTGTGTGTGTGCGTGTATGAGTGTGTGTGTGTGTGTGTGCGTGTGCGTGTGCGTGTGTGTGTGTGTGTGTGTTGCGTGTGCGTGTGCGTGCGCGCGCGCGCGCGCGCGCGCGTGTGTGTGTGAGACTGATATAAATAGATATTGATTAAATCGCGTTAGTGATCCAAGTTTTTAACACATCTTATATATCTTGATGTATTTCCAACCTAGGACGTTTACTACCACAGACGAAAATGAAGACCAAGATGAAAAATTAAATATTTTTTCTCTCGCCTCCGGCCATCTATATGAAAGATTCTTAAAGATCATGATGTTAAGTGTCATTAAACATACTAAAAGTCCTGTCAAGTTCTGGTTCTTGAAGAATTACCTCTCACCAACATTAAAAGTAAGCAGCAGCGTCACATAAAAAAGATGTGTCTTATTTCACAAGTGGAAAATCTTGCAAATTATTCCAGACATGAGTAATAAGTATTCTTTTTCTCTAACATAGGATTTTCTGCCACATATGGCTAAAGAATATGGCTTTGAGTATGAACTCGTCCAATACAAGTGGCCTCGCTGGCTTCATCAACAGACCGAGAAACAGAGAACTATTTGGGGATACAAAATATTGTTCCTCGATGTGTTATTCCCGCTGAACGTTAAGAAAATAATTTTTGTCGATGCTGATCAGGTAGATGAGAGAATTTAAAATATAGTGATATGAATTATTTGTCTCATACTCCAGTATACTTGATTCATAACAATTATTTTTATACAGGTTGTAAGAGCAGATTTGAAAGAATTAGCAACCATGGATCTCCGCGGTGCGCCATATGCGTACACACCTTTCTGTGATAGTAGAACTGAAATGGATGGATTCAGATTTTGGAAGCAAGGATATTGGAGAAATCACTTACAAGGGCGCGCTTATCACATCAGTGCGTTGTACGTGGTAGATCTCAAACGATTTCGCCGCATTGCTGCCGGAGATAGGTTGCGAGGACAGTATCAGGCGTTGAGTCAAGATCCAAACAGCCTAGCGAATCTTGATCAGGTGCGTGAAATGAATAATTTATAAGGGCATATGTAAGAGAGAGAATACATTATTAGTTTAATTGTTAAAATTGCCACGGTTCCTTTTTGCATTTATTTGCATTTATTGCGTCAATCATTTCAGGATCTCCCTAATAATATGATTCATCAAGTGGCCATCAAGACATTACCACAAGAGTGGCTATGGTGTGAAACATGGTGTGACGATGCATCCAAGCAGTACGCTAAGACTATAGATCTGGTATGTATTCTTATTTATACATAACAAAGACGAATGCGTCATTATTTCATATTTATTTCATGTTACATTTGCCAAGTAACATCTCTTCTGTTTTGTTTCTCCTATTAAAGTGTAATAATCCGATGACTAAAGAGGCCAAATTACAAGCAGCCATGCGTATCTTGCCCGAGTGGATAGGTTATGATGAAGAAATTAAAGCTCTGCAGCAGAAGATAGAGAATGCGAATAGACAGACGGAAAAAGACAATGGTACGTTTCTTACAATACGTACGTCTCTCAATCACTTTTTACGTGACACTTCTGCTCTTTGTTTCAGAAACTGTTGACGATGCCTCGAAGCACGAAGAATTGTAAATTATATACAACAACCTAGGTATATTGAACCGAGGTTATTGAATTCTGTAAAAAAAGAATTTCTGTTTTGTAGATTCATGAAATGTTGATACGTAAAAATTCTTCGTTTCACTTTTGTAATTGACATTTGGCACTTTATGTGTAAATATTTGCCATGGATGCTCGTTCGTCAAATAACGATGCATAAGCCAAATGTTTTTCTTACTTATTCTCATTACACTTTACACTTTATACAATCGTAAAATTTCAAAAGTGTCTTGTTTTTTTTCTTCTCCTTTTTATGCAGATATGAGTGAATCTAATTCTCTTCAAACCAAGTCGAAGCGAATAATCGGTAAAATTCAATAACTGATAATTGTTGAGATTACAGTATTCCAGTTATTCATGAACACACGTCTCTCTTTTTTGTTGTTCATGCTACTAGACCAATTGTGATTTATTGTCTACTATGCTAGTTGTAAGGAATAAACTTGTAACATTTGTACTATATCTCTTTTATATTCTGTCCCATATACAATATAGCTAATCACTAGTCAGCATTGATTCAATCGATCTTTAAATCAGCAGATGCGGTTAAATACGACTGAATTTATATATTCTCGAAGATATATAAAATATTTTTTCGATCCCGTTATTAATGAGTTTTTGTAATGTTATATGGATTTCGATACGCATCATTGCACGTGGTAATGATAGTTGGTGTCTTTTGTAAAAAGTTAGCTTGGTCGCAGAGGTGATGAAGTGAATCAGAGCGAAACGGACAAAGAAATTGACGAATATTCCTGATAATTCGATAATTTCAATCGAATAAAAACGATAGCATAGCGATAACGCGCTTGTAACGATGATGAATTACGTTCCATCATTTAAAATCTTTCGATGGAAAATCCAAGTGCTGCGCAAAATAAAGCAATTTCTCGCGATAAGAGCGATTATCATGTTCACCTAATCGTTCGATTGACAGAAATCGAAGCAATGCTCATTGGTCATTTCGCGTCTGCATCAAATCAGGAGCATCTTTATCACAACGGCTCTCGAAGAATTGTAGATATAAAATGGATATAATCCGGGTCGTTGTTTTACGCGCGCGTCTCGTCGTTCCCCTCACACTCATAATATTTATGTAAACACGTATCAGGAGAGCCAAGTCGCATGTACTAATGACATCTCCCAACGCATCACAACCCCGCGCTGTCGCAGATTTGCCTTGCCTTGTGCTGCGTGGTCGGTTTGGCTTGGCTTGGCTCTGTCAATTGCTCGATGCTCGCGCATTCGCGTCGTCCACGCTATTTCTCAGTGACGATCTGTCCGGAAAATTCACGACGACATGGAAGATAGTGACATTGTCACTGTCGGGCGAAACAACAAGACCAACGAGTAAGTCTCGCTTTAATAATATTTTAATGTTTTACAGCGGTGTTACGTTGTTTACGAATTTTTCGTTAAACAGAATTTTCTATGCGTTTCACTCGAGTGTCGAATATTTGATAGCTAGACAAAAATGTACACACACAATATATCTCTTTTACTATTCTCAACATATATTTTGTAATATAATAGTTTTAGTTTAGATAATTTAACATATGTAATTCAAATTCTCAAGTGATATAATGAGCAAGTAAAAATAAAAATAAGAGAGAATACAAAAATATTAAATTTATTTCAGATTTGGAATGTGAGAAATTCAGTTTCACAAAAGTTACTGAGGCACACAAATTTATATAGAATAAAATAAATATTCGTTTATTCTGCAGAGTATGCGGATATATATATGTATATTTTGATATTAATAATTTATTCACATAAATTAGAAATTCCCTTATCACAACAAAAAGTTATCGAGTATTGACCAAACACACCATATTGACAAAATTGAGATAGCAAAAACAAATAAGAAACAGTTTTGATCGGTCGGCAGAATATGTTAGCGTTTGCAATAGACACGTGCTTCGGTAGACCAACGTTAATATTAATTTGATTTATCTAAAAATCTCAAGTTGCGCACTAAATTACACGTACCAAGGACATACTAATCGTTAAAAATTCTACGGCCATCATATATTTTTTACCGTCTGCTCGCTAGAGATTGTGACTATATACCCATTTATTGAAAAACAGACGGAAGTCACACACATTAATACGTATTATTATTTCCTTTGCTTGTGTTTTTAATACCTGGACGATCGTTTTTACAATCTGGATCACGCTTTTGCAAATGCAAAAATACAGCATCAAACGTCCAATTGTATTACACGAAACCCTACCCTCCCGTTTCGTCACATACTCTCGAAAAAGTTACAAAATGTCATCGCATCAGCAGAACTCGATAGTTTAGCATCGGAATGTCGGCCACCGCAAAAATGGACCTCAGTTGCATCGTCAATGAGTAAATATCAAAATTACATTATTTCGATTTCATGTATGTCATATAGCGATTTTGTGCAAACAATTTCAACAAATTGATGCTCATATAAAAGTGAATTTTTGCACTGCATTGTGTTGATTTTTATATCTTTATACTGACAACGAGGCGCAATTTGTTATAGATAATTTATGAGAGTAGGTATATCATCAGTTAGCTTGACCAAGAGCATTTATTTCTTCCAGTCATAATATATGCTTGTGTGTGTGTGTATTATTGACCGTAACATGTTATACATCATGAAGCATAATTTATACCATTGTCAGTATTTAAAAAAGCATGCCTAATGGAAAAATTTTTTATATTTCATATTTACATGATATATTTAACGATAAGTTTAGCCATCTTTTTCATATATTTATCTTTTCAATCTTTTATTTATATTGTGTGTGAGAATATAATTTCCATGTCATATATCGAACATATTGGATTAAATGTTCCGAACATTATGAACAGCGTTTATTTTAATTTAATTTATTATTGTCAATTATTTCTTTCATCAATACATTTAACATTTCAAAAAAATAATTATATATGAGCACAGCACACGCATATCAGTCGCACAAGAAAACTATGTGAAAAGTATAATATATCTATTTATTTCACAAGAATGTTTACGTAGACAAGTTTATCTAAACTACTTACCTATGTTAATTTAGTTTTACATGCAAATTTATTTGTTATTCTTTCTCCGTGTATATTATATTGTTTCGAAAGAACGCGTTTACGCCACATTTCCGCTGCATTTTTGCTAAAACTTTTATCGAGTTTTCAAAATTTTTCCTTCGACTTCTGTGTCCTCATAAGATAATGATCAATCTATGAAAACCTATTGGCGATGCTATGACGGTTCTTTAAGGATAAATCTAGATCGATTAATTTGGAGTAACCGCTATTAAAATATAGGAAGCCCGTTACAAAAATATGAAATATAAAATATAAGAAGCCCGTTACAAAAATATGAAAGATCGGCACGCATTCGACGCGATTTCTGAATCGTGTTGCTCATGCATCACGTGCGCTGGCGGTGCCTCTTCATGGAAAGCTACACGAACATACTGTGCGTTTATTTCATGCTCACAATTAGTCTCGATCCGCAATCCACGGCACGATCAATGGCCGCTTAATAGGATCGCGATATTTACCTTCTGCTACGATCTATAAAATTATCGATAGCATTTTTTTTTATAAAGAAAAGTATCGTCAGTCTACTGGAAGAGCAGGATATTTTTTTTTTAAGTTGTGAAAGTACGAACGACGTCCGCGCAAAACTGATCGATCGATCGATCCTACCAGCGAGTAATTTGCGAAGAAATCAGTTCCGAGTGTCTTTTTTAAAATTCTCGAGCGAATGATAAGACGAGTGTCGGGACTAGTGCGATTATTACCAATTATATGTCGGTGCAAGAAAGATAAACGACAATCGGTCAACACGCTAGCCGATAAATCGCTTGAATAATTGACGCGGTTGTGAAATTTGTCACACAGCATAATAAATTCAATAAACTGCTCTCGAATGAACGGGATCGAAACATCTATTGAATATTGATTACTAAACGACATATAGAATCATTCGACTGCAGAGCTCTGTGATTATCGAAGGATATATCAATGGATGTATGGAAGTGCATTTAATTTTTCAAGTAACAAGATCATAAGAATATAAAAAGTTTCACGAAAGCGAAAAAAAAAATGAATGAGATTTATGATAGAAGAAGAAAGATTTTTCATGTAAAAGGTAGCCGATTCAACTACAATATTCTGAAAGTAAACTACTTTTCTCTTCAATTTCTCTCTGTTTCGAGTAAATTAAGATACGTTTAACTGTACTGTAAGTTGCTGATATCCTAACGAAGATAGAAGAAAAAGACAGAGATGCGCGAACAGCAAGCAGATAGAAAGGGAACGAGAGAGCGACTCATCGGCGAGTGGGGATTCGCGATAAAGACAGACGAACCGAGAAGAAAGGTAGAGGGACTGAGAAGGAAGAAGAAAAGAGAAGAGAAGAGTGAGAGAGAGGTTGATGGCGCGTCGATGTCAAGTCTTTTATCTGCCGGACGAGAGAGTCGCCAGGCATGAGCTCTGTTCCACCGAAAGACGGACATGGCTTTTCGTCGTTCACTTGAGGAGTGACGCTTGCAGTTGATCCGGAGGACGACGACACACAACTACGCGCGTTACACGACTCGACTGATTACAGCTCGTACAGTCGCCGCCTCCATCTCTCCATCCGCCGCTGCCTCCACCCGCCTCCTGGTGTTTCTACCTCTCGGCATCGCTCGGCTTTCGTCTTCTTTCTTTATTTTCTTTTTTCTTTTTTTTTTGGCACTTGGCGTTCCCGAGCGATTCGACAAAACAAGATCGTTGATCGGATCGTCTCGTGTAAGACTGACACGACATCGCGCGTTTGGCTGTCGACCTACTGAGAACTAGCTGGATCCCCACTGGATCTTTTCACTACGGGATCGATCATGGACGACGAGAAGATTAAGCTGTGAGTTTTCTTCGAGTTGCATTATCCTCGACGTACGACAGACAGGCGAAAACAACCTCCGAAAAGCCGAAGAGATCTCGCGAGACCGGCGAATGATTGCATCACGTGGAAAGTTTCCCGAGATTGCGAGAATCTTGGAGATTTTGATTAATTCCTCGCGGAGAATGTGATCTACATCATGCGTTTTTCTTTTCTTATTTCGGAGGTACATTTGGTACATGTGTGTTGGTATTTTGATACGTGCACTGTTAGTTTTTGGTATGTGCATCGTTAGTTCTTGATAATTTATCAGTTAATTTTTGACAATCCCTAAAAGGAAAATGATGTTGCATGAAGATTTGGTGATTATTAGTGTCTAGTGGAATCAATTGAAGAGTGTGCTTCTTCAAGAGAAGGGATTTTTTGGAAAATCGTACGCCATCGTGTGTTTCTTGAAATACATTCCGCGTTCTTTCTCATTCTTGTGGAGTGGGAATATATTGTGATATTTTGTTATATGTAGGGATATTTTATATCTGTGTGAATGTTATATTGACGGACCAAAAATATGACGCGATAGATAGATAGTGAAATCAATTGGAAAATAACAGCACGTGTGGGGTATAGTTGAGAAAAATTACACGCCCGCAAGTATATTGTCAATCTTCAATTTAAGTCTTCTGTCGTGTAAATTGTCGAAAATGATTGATGATCTAAAGTGATTCGCTTGAAATGTTTTAGCAATTTCTTTATATTTGGAGTACTTGCAATATTTGCAGAAAAATGTCGAGGCATCGAGCATTTTTGAGTTATTAAGAATTAGTTCTTTTCTCTCGTCGATTAAATTTTTAGTTTTGAAAATTCTTTCCCCTCGTTTTTATAAATTATATAACATCACGTTAAATATAATATTGCGCAGCAATTCTGAGAAATCTGATATAAATCTGAGAGTATCGCTATCGCTCCACGGTAGATTATCAAAATATTCTTACCGTTTGTCACAATTTCAAGCGTCATAGTAGCGCGAATAGTAGCGCGAATCTTGATGATAATCGCTGTTTGTTGATATTCACACGTCGTATCGAGAAAGCTCTTCTCTTCGATTTCTCTTTCTTCCGGCAATGTCTCCGCGAATTAACGAGTCAGGAAGCTAGCTCGCTGATTGTCGAAATTATGCGGCAATTACCGTGCGCGACATGCAGTGTAATTCTACAAATAACAAGGCCGCGATTCCCTTCACTTTGCCACGCGACAGAATCTAACATAGAATCGTATGCGAGGACGTGCAACCAGTCTCGCGTGCATTAACAAAAACACGATTCTTTCTATTAAATTTGTCAGTCGTTGAGACAAGTTTCACATGTAAAAGTAACAAATTAATTCCATCCAATCCATCCAAATTAGATTCTGTAAATATAGAAATCTTTCTGAAAATCTCGCGAAAATTTTTCATAAAATTTATTTCACAAAATAAAATTCTCGACGACGATAGTCATCGCGTAACGCGTTCCATCGATTACTTTCTTCGATGTAGTGTTTTCCTCTCCACGAAATTGATATTTACAATAGATATTGTCGAACTGTATAATATAGCGTCAACATGATTCACGCTGTAAGTCATAGTTACGAGATCATGCACGCGTGTATGAGAAAGACAATAAGAGGAATGTATTTTCACAAACATTACGCGCGCACTATTCATTTTTATTCATTGTGCAGTATTTTCAATAAACTGTCGGAAATAACGGAACCGGTTTCAAGTGACCCGAAAGCTTGATGTTCATGATGAAGACCCATGTCTTCAAAACGTAACTTTGAAATACTTTCTTTCATATTTCTACATCTTTCTTCAACTTATTTTTACATAAATCATAAAATACGAATGGATTTAGCGTTATATTTGTTTTTATTGTATTAATTCACTAAATAATTTAAAATCCACCAAGGACTATACTAGCAATCGCTTTTACATTTAATTTCAATAATAAAATCGCATTTTCTATATTCAATATTTAATACCTCATACCTGCTTCAAATTAAGCAAAAGAAAATATTTTCTTCAAAATTTGTAGCAAGATCAAGTGTTGATTAGTTACAGAATGAATAATATAAATAATAATATTAGTTACATAATGAAATCATAAGTTTCAAGCAGTGACACTTGTAAAATGGATACTTTTTATGGTTAGTATAACGATTACATTTTATCGCAGTGGAAAGAAGGGCACGAGCGCGTATGATCGCGAGCATGTGATCGTGAAACAATCATGGGCGCCGTGAAAAGAAATGTACTTGCATCTTTTCGAGTTTTCCGAAATAATCAATTAAACAAATACAAACAAGTTGTTCTTTCTTCTTTCTTCCAAAAGATTAAATTAATATTTATGATGATGATTTCCACATTTACATGCACAAGTCAAGTGCATTTAGTTAACAATTTTATTTTTATCAAAATTGTATTCAATTATCTGATTCCCACACATTCTTAGGGTTTTTAAGCTTTAGTGTACTTTTAGAATATTAGTAATGTTTTTCATTAGGAAATTAAAGAACTTTTGAAAATTTGTGTCGTATCTCGGCGAGACATTTCTCTGAGAAACATCTTTGATGTGATTCTCGTCTCGGCGAGACGAGACTGTGCTCGTATTATCACCGTGTAATTAATATGAAACTGACATGGTGTCGGATAACTCGACGACGGAATGGCGAATTGACTGTCGTCAATTTAATCCGCTGGTGCACACCTGATTACTTGGGACTTTGCGATGATGAACCATGCGCAGATCATTCAAAACAAATCCATAATTTCATATGATATGATAATTTAATCGCTGAGAGAGAGAGGGAGGGGGGAGAGGAGGAGAGAGAGAGAGAGAGAGAGAGAGAGAGAGAGAGAGAGAGAGAGAGAGAGAGAGAGAGAGAGAGAGAGAGAGAGAGAGAGAGAGAGAGAGAGAGAGAGAGAGAGAGAGAGAGAGAGAGAGAGAGAGAGAGAGAGAGAGAGAGCAATATATTAACTGATTATCATCAACAAAATAATAACGACTTTTGGAAGCTAGTAATTTCATGTAAGAAGAATATTGACAATAAGCTATTCTCGGATTGGTCATTTGAAAGATAATAAATGGTGGAATTTCCGAAAAGTTGTAAAACTATTTATCATTTCCTCGCTGACTAACGAGCGTGGGAGGAGAAAAGATAAGCAGAATCGAGCGAGTATATCGTGAATAAAAGGAAGTTGATCGAAGTATGCCACTCGTGACCCTCGGAATATGTATCAGCGTGATCACATCCTCGCGTATCTTATACTCGTTGTATTGTATTCTCATTCCGACAAAAATTCCAAGATTTAGATCAGTTTGAGTGGCGGAAGTCACCTCCTCCTCACTCCCATCCTCGTAAAAATCTGTTTACGATCTGGTTCTATTCTAAAAACAAATTCTCGTGTGATTTGAGGATCGCAATCTTTTCTTTCTATGTCAATAACTTCCGAACAAATAGTGTGTGATTTCTGCAAAAACCAAAACTTCTTCTACTCCGGGAAAAAATATCAATATATAGATTTATAACTGCCGCGAGTAAAATTGCGAGTAAATATTGAGATTGATGCTTGTAATTTGTGATATGATGAAAATGATGAGTTTCGTAATGTTTAATAACTTTCTTTGCGAGATAGGATAACTAATTGTAACATTATTATTAGATCGATCTTAAGAAAGCTCTGTGTTACTCTGTATCACAGATTGATTGTATTACAATCACATCATCGTATGATAACATTTAATGTAGAAGATATATATCCAATACAGAGATCTGCGATCAGATGTAGCTAAATGTCATCTAAATTTTTCTACATTTTAACATGATAGTGCACACTGTGCGATATACTATTATACTGTGTATCATCATCTCTGTCGATATTTTTCGATGACTTTGCATCATTGATAATCATGAATCACAGTCAGTCAGATAGAAGAACGCAAAAGAATGTGTATGCGTGGATGCGCATTTGCACACGGCATTATTGATATATCTGTCTGACAGATAATGCCGCTCTGTGAAACGCGATAAGGATTGGTCACGTATTCGCATATAATGGCATATTGTCATATTAAAGTGTAGCATGTATAATTCTGGTTGATAACACATATTATGCATTTGAGTGTTCCATAAGGCTCGTTATGAAATTACCCACACAGCATGCATATCCGGGGGACGTTCGGGGGACATCCCGAAGGTATCGTATCTCTCAAAGATATCTTCGGGATGTCTTCTGGACGTCTTTCGGATATGTGTGCCGTGTGGGTAGTTGTGTATCATAATTACGATGCAATTAAAATACATTTCTATCATAACAATTGATATAATGTCGATACTTTATTCATTTTATTGTTTTACATTTTCCCTTTTTCCCTATAAACATACATTTACAAGGAGTAATTGCATTGTATTTATTTGATGAACAAATATCTAACGACACGATGAAATACTAGAAACGTTATTAGAAAACATTTATCGAATAAATAAAGTTAATAAAGTTGTATAGGGTTATAGGTTTTTACGTGTGATATGCAGATTCTAGTCAGAAAATATTTAACGCTATTAAAAATTCCAACTTTATATTTATTAATTTCGTCAAAGACTTTATATCGAATTTTTTTCTCAATACACAAATATTTGTACATCGTTTTCTTTCAACACATAAAACAAGCACGTCCTATCACGCGCGAGTTCTATCTCCGTTGAAATCTTATCCAAGAAAGCCGAGAAACACAATATCTGAGATAACTGAGAGATTGCTGTAATTTTTTATTTATCATGATTTGTGTGTTAATCAACGAATAAACGGTCAATGAAATTGTTTCAGCGTAAAAAGTCAAGTTCGATCAAATAAAATAAATTTGAGACAATAATAATTTACGAAATGGAACGATTTGTTAAAGAAAAGTTACTCCATATATAGATAGATATTTTATTTTCTCCATTTTTGAATTATCGCCGTTAACCCACTTGACAATTATTCGACGAACACGTAATCATACTTTCTTTTATTACGTAACATAAAAAAAGAGCAGTCGATGTGCGTTTACGATCGTGAAGAAAATGACAATCTAACAAATAAATCGAAAGTACTCCGTTTGTCTCGTACATACATACAATCGAGAGAAACGAGATAAATAAGACGAAATAAATAACAAATTCAATAATAAAATAATGAATAAAAAAACGATGATAAATTTGTGATGATAAAATCAAGTAGTCTTTTCTGTGAAGATAATTTTTATGCTGTTATTCACAATTACATACATGATGATATTTAAATGCGAGAAAAAAAAAAAATATTTTTTTTTATTGCAATTTTATGACAAATTGCAGATTCAAGGATAAAGCAATTTATGGCTATGGAACGAGTATTCCTCCGAACAATAACGAAGATGAGGAAAGTGAATTGCCGCCACGTAAAGTGATCTTTTGCGTTCATGGAAAATTGTCAGGTTGTTGCACGGTAGTGAAAGGCTCTCTCGATGACAATGCAACTATGGACTATCAACAGAATCCGACAAGTATGTTTTCTTGAGGAAGCAGGTTTGATGGTATAGATATTTAAGAGAAAACTATGAGAAGAAATAGAAATATAATAACAATCAATATTTATATATGTAAATATAAAAAAGAAATATCGATTAGATTATTGCAGTATTTGAATAAAAATGAAAGAAGATAACCGGGAAAACCAAGAAACTGTTTGAATGCCCATTATATTGAGAAAATAATTTTTACAATTAGCCAAACACAATCCTAATTATCTTAATCTTAATTCGTCAATATTCGAAAAAAATCTAATCTTTTAAAGCTAGTTTCAAATAAGCATGTAAGTTGACTGTGTCCTTGTCATATTTTCAGCATCCCCAGAAGATCATTGTCACAGAGAGAGAAACGAGGAGATCGACAAGAAAGCTCGAAAAAAATTGTTGATCGCGAGTGCACTCTGCGTTATTTTTATGATAGCAGAAATCGTCGGTAATTTAATATTAATGTCATAATGTCTGATTTTTCACACTAATTTACTAATCATATCGATGCAAAGAAATACTCATGGTACGCGTGTTTCTACAAATTTTTCTTTTTTTTCTCTTTAGGCGGAGTATTGTCAAATAGTTTGGCGATAGCGACCGATGCTGCACATTTGTTAACTGATTTTGCATCATTTATGATATCTCTCTTTTCCATCTGGGTCGCGAGCAGACCGGCAACCAGAAAAATGCCTTTTGGTTGGTATCGCGCGGAGGTATGTATTTCACATTAATATCAAATATAAATATTTCTTTTATTTCTATTATTCAAATGGATTTTATTATTGTCAATTTTATTGTCAATTTTAATTTTATTTTTACCAATAATATTTCACTAATAAACTAATTTAAAATTTGTTTTGAAAGTTAGCAATTTGAAATATGCATTAAATATTGTACTTTATTTAAAAAACTTTTAAATCAATTTTATATGAAAAATGTTCACCAATTATTGTACTAAGAAGGATTGATGTATGCAGAAAAATTTTTACACGTAGCATTTTCGAAGTTTGCAGTCTATAATGTCAGAAAATAATCGAAATTTTAATGTGCATAAAAAGTGATGATGAAAAATTACTTGTATGCTGTTTTAGGTAATCGGTGCGTTAACTTCTGTTTTACTAATATGGGTGGTCACTGGCATTCTATTCTACCTCGCAATTGAAAGGATTGTCCACAAAGATTTCGAATTGAACTCGACGGTGATGCTAATCACGTCTGCAGTTGGTGTTGCGGTAAATCTAGTGTTAGTGATACCATTAACGATAATATTTATTTAACTGCGCAGTGTCTTGCGATAGCTCGTGCATAATAATATAATTTATAATACTATGCGCATTTATCCGTGAAACTTCGATAACAATCGTGATCGCGATATGCATAGTATGTTACATCAATCGAATTCTTCGATTGTTGAGCAATCTTTCACGCATGATATCAATTCAAGTTGCAAATATATGACAACTATATTTTCAGCGAGGGATCTAAAATTTTTAAGAATTAATCAAGCCAAGTTATAAACTATATAATTTAAAAAGTTATTTCAAATGATAAAGATACAAATAGAAATGTAGTATATCGATTTTGTTGTAAAATTTTGGAAATTGAACTTTATCTTCTTTGAAGAAATATGTATACGAAAAGATAAGTACATTATACATATGTAGCATCAAGATAAAAAATTTTGCATTGCAGAATGGGTTTATCGTTGCATCAACATGGTCATAGTCATGGTGGACACAGTCACGGCGGAAACAACGATTCAGAAAGCGGGCTTGATGATGATCTCAAAGGTGAACATACGAAAAGGAACATCAACGTTCGTGCAGCTTTCATTCACGTCTTGGGTGATTTTATTCAGAGTATAGGAGTATTCATCGCGGCATTAATCATTTACTTTAAGGTATTTCCAAAACTTTCAGTGATAGCTCTTATTGATACACATATATGTCATTATTTTATGCTTCCTTATGTTCATCTCTTATATTGGAAAATTTCATGGTATTGTTTGCACAATTCAGTACACAAATTTTGCAATAGATATTTTGATTTTAAAAATTCATTTATATTTCAGCCAAGTTGGAGCATAGTAGATCCCATATGCACATTCCTCTTCTCCGTACTAGTTATCCTCACCACGGTGGCAATTATTAAGGACGTAGTGAACGTCCTGATGGAAGGAATTCCAAAAGGTTTCGAGTATTCTCAAGTGGAAAGTACCTTTATGCAAATAGATGGAGTTGTTAAGGTGCACAATCTTAGAATCTGGGCACTCTCGCTCGACAAGACTGCCTTGTCGGCGCACCTCGCTATAAGTATGCTTCATCTAAAAATATAATCTTACATATGCATTTCTTATTTATGCATTTCAGTGTTGCGCAACTCAATTATTTTTAAGTCTTGAATAACTCACGCTGCCGGGGAATGCTAAAAGACGCTTATACTTTTAGATTTTTTGAATGTTTTCATATTTTCTGATTTCTGAGAATTTTTCTAAAGTCTTTCATTATATTGTATATTTCATCATAAACTTCTTTTTGTCAATTCCGTTTGCGAATAAGAGCACGTACACAATTTGGATATTATACATTATTATCTTTCCGTTCGTTATATCATTTTGTGGTATGTATTTATGTTTTCTTACAAATAAAATGATTATGAATTTTTATTTGCAGAACCTGGAACAAGCCCTCAGAACATTTTACGCACTGCCACGCGAAATATTCATGACAAGTATAAATTCTTTGAGATGACATTACAGATAGAGGAATTCAATGAGCGAATGGAGAATTGTAAGCAGTGCAAAGCGCTATCGCAATAAATTATCGCGATATTGTACTTATACGTACCTCAAACGCGATATAAGGGACGCAGCATGCACCGGAGATAATTTTAGAAGTCTTGTGATCATTACGATGCTCCACCGAAAGACAATGAGATTGTTCCGTATGCGAAGGCAGCGTAGATGCATTATGTTCACAACTGTTATATATTTTTTCTTTCTTTTAACTTTATAAGAAAATGTACGAACAGTCAGTAATACTCGTACAATGCGATACGTCTATTGTCAATAGTCATTTGTTATTTGCGACTTAGATAAATTATAAATAGTTTCACATAGTTAGATATACATTCTTAATAGTTACAATTGCTGCAATTATAAGAGGATTTGTAATTGTTTCTCCTGATTGGCTACCACATGTTAAAATGTTTCTTTACCTCCAAGATAAACATTGTGATTAACGTTTATTTTAAAGGTGACTTGGTCTATTCACAGTAAAAGTTACAACTTGACTGATTTTATAATCAGTGATTTTGTAAGAAATACCATTGTATATATTGAAATATTAAAATAGAAAAGAAGAGAAAGAGCACAGACGAATAAAAGTTCTTCTCGCAATAAACTCAAACTGATTGCATAATTCCGTGTAAAAGCAGAGCATCTGTGTCGCAAATTTAACATTGTTTTAAGATAATTTGTATAATATAAAATATTGTATTTAATAGAAACAAACAATGTAAGCATTTGCTTGACATTCTGTAATTTATCTTCAGAGTGCTCATCAATAGTTGTTATAAAAATAATTTTTACACTTTGAAACATGTATTGTATTAATATGAACCTGCTATCATTCGCTAATTCATCGACTTTAGGCATTGAACAAAATGAGATAACTGACAAAGTACTATGAAAAATTTGTCAAGATGGGCAGAAAATGTAAAGATTCATTCCTTTAAAATGCCACTTGTTAAATCAAATATAAAATTAGCATCAGCAATTAGGTGAAAGACGATAATGTTTACTTAATGACAGTCGTGCAGCAAATTCGTGATACTTCGAACATAAAATAAGTATGTGAGAAGGATTTTGGCCGACTCTCGAGGCACAGGTAAATCGATCTTCAATCTAAAATAAAAAATATAAAATAACAATTGTATGTAAATGAATGTTCAATGTCATTTTATAAAACGTTCGACATCTTATAAAATACCTAAAATTAGTTATTGCACGTGAGATTTACATCAAAGAGCAATAGTCGCAAAAAGAGCACGGGACGAATCGAAAACAATTTTGTATTTATAGCACATACATATTTTCTCGCCTGTTTCATAATCGTTCATAATTAATTGTAATTCGAAATCTATCGAAAAGCGATAATAGCAATTCTCAAAGTCGAAAGAGTCGAAGCGGACTCAACAGTTGTGGAAAGTTACTAGATTTTTCACTGAATGATTTCGTTGTTGATTTGTGGCTCTAAAAGTAAGTTACTTACGTTATCCAAGAAACTGAATTGTGACGGAATCTCTCCGTAATCACTCCGTAATAAAACAAAATTTCTCCCTTTAGCGTTTATCACTGATAATTTACTGAGCTGCAAGATATTTTTTTCTATTTAAGTTATTGAGCAGAAAATTGCAATGTTTTAAGGTATTAAAATGTAACGCAGACTATCGTTTTCGTAAGCAAGTTAACAGATCAATTATTGATAAAAAGAGAAGAAATCGAGAAAAAATACACACGTCAAATCAAGTATTTTATCAGTAGTAAAAATCTTTTTTTTACATGTATGCTATCTGAGCTTACAACCAAGTTATGATGCTCTTTCTTCTAACACTTAAATCGAGGAACTGAGACTTGTAGAAAAGTATCACTGTTATTTATGTTCAAATCTTTAGTCGGCGCAAGGAAAACACTAATTTCTCAATTGGAAGACCAATGAATTATTCTAGAGAATAGAATGGATTTTCTCACAAGCTGAAAACACAAAGTGGATTGTGAAAAAGTATACACGTAAATGTAGTTTTAAAATATAAATAAACTTTTGAATACTTACACATTACAAATGTACATATTATAATTTGTCATTATGTTTTTCACAGAGCTTTAGACAACATTATATTAGCAACACTTTTGGACCATGTTTTAAATCCGATCCCTTTAGAGGAAAAGACTAATATTGAAGAATTAAGTACAAGATTGATTCTGGCAAACAAATTAAAATTTTATAGAGCAACTGGAGTAAACGGTATTAAAGTACTATTAAAATCTGAAAAAATAAATAAAGCAAACTTTCAGTAAATAAATAGTTTTCACATTTATTTGATAGAATAAGATATTAACTTTTAACAGTTTATAAGTACATATTAAATAATAGTAATCTTTTATATGAATTTTAGTTATTGTTTTTCCAGATTTTACAGGTCGGATCTTACACTTGTGTTGAAAGAAAATTTGGAAAATAAAACTATAATGGAATTTCCAACATTGCATATCATTATCAAGAATTATTCGAATATGTATGAAATTATAGATGGGTACTGGTAAATATTACGTGACTAATACAGCAGAATTTATCAGTATATCAACATGCACTTATATATACATCTTATCTTTTAGATGAAAAAACGAATGATACAAAGTGTAAAAATTATGGATTTAGTCAAAAAATGTGAATAATAGAATTATTATATAAATACTTATTCGTATATAGATTTTTATTGGAAATACATCACCATTAGTTTCAGTACAATTGAAATACATACAAATGTGATAACATTAATTGTATATGTGTACGACTATAATACAATTTTATTATTTCCCTCTCTCCTATCCCTACTCATCATATACCTGCATACCATTCAAAAATATAATTACAATTGATAATAAATATATTTTCTTATATCAGTACTAGTTAAAGATTTTATAGATTACACATAAATTGTATGATTTAACAAATATGTAGGAATGAGGAATATAATTTTTCTTTTATCGGCGAGATTAGATATAAAATATACATTTTTTATCTTTCTCACACAAGTTTCTCAACGTCAATTTCTAGGGCAATTTAATATTATTCTATAAGTAAGAAAATAAGTATATATTACACAAATATTTTAAAAATGATTGCACATCTTATCATTCTGTCTTTTTATAAGATACGAGGACTCGATCGAAATTGATGTAAAAAAATTCTTACATCTACATTCATTTCTATATTACATAGTAAAAAAAAGATTTGCGCTTTCACATAGCGTTAAAAAATAACTGAATATTTTACTGTGTGTGTTTTCATAATTACGTACTATGCTTTTGTAAACATAATTTTGATATAGATTAGTTTGGATACATTAATATAATCATATTCTTACAATTTTTGTTTCGTATGTAAATTTTTACTTTTTTCGTGATTATAAATAAATATTAAAATTATAAACATTTTGTAATTAAAAATGAGACAAACAAAATATATTCTATTTTCACTTGGAAATGGAATTTTTTATACATATTGATTTGTTCTTTTTTGCTTATGTTATATTTAACTAAAGAATAAAGAAATACAACAGGAAGACCAAAAATGCAACAAGGCCAGCAACAGCTTTTACATACATCGATTTGCTGTTTAGATGTCTCGCGTCTTTCTTGTACTTTTGTGATAGCATGGATAAATTTTGCGTCTTTGTATCCAATTCTGCAAAGTGCAATATTGTATTAACACGCACAAATATATATTACTAATATATGTGTGTATATGTGTGCATGCGCGCGCACGCGCACACACACACACACACACACACAAATATAATAAAATCCTTTTGATGTAAAAAAAAATACCTGAGAGTACAGTGCCTCTTTGTAAAACATCATCAATATTTTGTACCATGATTCTTTGCACATCTTGCAATTGACTGTTAAGTGTATTCAAATTTCTGCGAGATCTACTATCTGAAAAGATTTTCTTGGCTTTCTGAATATATGTATCTGAAAGATAAATAAAATAAAGTGGATTCTAAATTCAACAAAAATGATATATTCAGTACCAATTTTTATCTTTGATTTACCAAATTCAATAAAGGTGTAAGGCCTGGTTACTGTATTTACACGTTTGCCGTACTGAGCATGAAATTCCTGTGCAATATCTTCCAAATAACTATAAGCTATGCGTGTACTATAATTCCTTTCACACAATACAAGATAACATACTTCATTTTCAATTAAATAGCTGTAAAGAAATATGATATAAGACACAAACAAATTATACCGATAGTAATCCATCTACATAACCAAACTCACTGAAAAAGATAAGGTCCAGTTTCCAGGGTACATCTCGATGGAGATTGCGGACCTAGTTTTCTAAATAACATCTTTGCTTGATTCTGATATTCTACAATATTCTTACCATCCTGCAACAGAATAGAGACAAACATACTATACATTAATGTGCTAAAGTTGATTGAAAAGTTAGAAATTTGCTCTAACTTTTCATTCGCTTGTTCAAAATTTATAAATTTTTATTTTCTTCTCTGGTCTTTACAAATAAAACGAAACTTTCACCAATACATATAGTCATTCTTTTCTCAATGAGAGTTAATTGCAAAAGCAAAGTACAAAACCTAATAGTGAAATGACATTTCATCATAACATTACTAACCTGCTCGTTGTCCTGCATGGTAGCTGCCAGTGGCAGGCCATCCGCTACTCTTGCGATTATCGTAAACAAAACCATGTTATTAGGATTTTATCGCCGTTTTTCGTCTAAAATAATCGGATACAAAGCTATAAAAGCGTCGTCGCGCTGTTCCGCGACTTCAATGTCGTTCAATGTCCACAGGCCACACAGGCCATTCGTGCAAAACTGATGTTCGTCGATGTGGCCACTGAATTCGCCGCACATGCATTCTCGACTCACCACGTCAGTCGATTCGGTCGATCGTAAGATCTGTTCTTTTTAGCTGCACTGGTACTGTACTAAACAAAATAGTACAGAACAGAAAGATAGTCTGGTCCATAGACGTAGTAAGTATAGTGTGACCGACGGATGCACTACGGCCGGTATTCATAAGGTTTGTTCTTTATCGCTGCACTGAGTTCACACTGCACTGAACTGAATTGAAATAGTGCAAGCGGGGACAAGTTAGTGTAAGTAAGTAAGTATAAAGAACGTTTCAGTGCAGTGATCAACATGACGCACGCGTAATATTAAATGAATTATTAGATTCTTCGGATAAAGAAAATATAAATCTAATGCCACCATTTATACCTCTTTTAGATGACGATGACGGTGGTAAGATATGTATTTTATGTGCAATGTATTATTATTTATTATTGTTATATATTAATAAAATTAAAATTTTTGGAAATTTAATCTAATCTAACCTAGTAACTATTTTTTTTTAATTTTGATGAGTTACAATTATTACATCCAATTTTTGGAATGATACAAAGGATTGAACGTGTCAAAATAAATAATTAAATAGAAGATATTGTTCATAATTATGACAAACTGGGTTTTATCATGCATTTTCGATTATCGAGGATAGTAGCATATGAACTGATAGATCGATTTAGAGTGTTGGAAATATTTATTTCTTTACAAAGTATATTATTATTAATATATTATTTTTAGATAAAAACAAAGCTTTGAAGATAATATTTAATTAAATCTTTCATATATACATACATATTTTTCAGCTCTTTTTCAGCATATTTTTCATATATATACATATTTTCAGCTGTAAATTTGCAATTATTATTAACAATAATTTTATGTTACACAAATACAGCATAAAAAACTTTTATATACATTTAGCTTCTCTAAAAAAATAAAACTTCACATTTAATAAAAGTTAGTACTATCACAGCTTGATTTTCTGAAATTTAGATTATTAGTACAATTTCAGTGCTTATAATTTAATTTTAAGAGAATTATTAATTACTTTAATATTAAATAGGTTACTTTAATATTTATAATAGATTATTTGTACTTTTTAAATTTCCCACCCATTATCAACTTACCCGATTCTCGCACTGCCCTGCACTGCTTGTTCTTGCTCAAGACCCAGTGCAACGAGTACCGTGAACTGTTGCACTGCAATGAAGAACAAATTGGTGCAAGATCTGTAGAGAGAAGGTTACCTCATACGCAAAGAGGGACGAGCGGCAAAAGGGGCAAATACAGAGAGGGGCGAGCGGCAAGAGGGGTAAATGCAGAGAAGGGCGAGCGGCAACAGGGGCAATGATGATGTCATCTGCGAGCAGAAGCTATCTCAGATAGCTACTGTTTGCAGATGAGATTGTAAAGCCTTGTGTCCACGATGCTAGAACTCAATCCGAGATCTCGGTCCGAGTCCTCGAACAATAATATTTATACTTGGCTGAATATAGTTAGCGTTGTAATCGAGTTACGATTCTTTACGATGATTTTCTGATCTATGTTATATTGCCAAGTTGGTTTATAGATATCATCAAGTGATGCACCGCTTGATTTCAAATGTTTTATTTTATTTAGATGGTCCAGATATTGTGATCTTAAATTATTAATTTTTTTTGCAATTTCAGTTGTTAGTGGTTGTCCTGTTAATTCTTTGTACTGATTACAGATTATCTGTAAAGCTTGATCTCGTTTCATACGATTATGATAATCAACACTATTTGTAACATATAAACAAGAATGTTGTTGATATAACATTAATAAAATTTTAACATTTTCCTTATTATCCATTTTTTATTATAAAAGAAGTTTTTTCTGAAAATCAATTTTATATATTATTATACTTTTCTTGAAAAATAATATGTATATATAGGTTATAATATATTTTTAATGTCTAATTTAATCTGCATTAAAACTAATAATAACTACTTATGTAAATCTTATTAATTATTAATCTTATTAATTTATTTTATTTAAGAATTATATTTTTCTTATTTTTTAATTCTATAATTACTTACTAAATATTATTTATATTGTTCACAGTATCTCGTATCACTATAAGTATCTTATATTTTGTCTTGACAGATTGCAAAAAAACTAGTAAAATCTAATAACTCGCAATAACTCGTTCCGAAAAATGGGACGCAACACATTTTTTCGTTTGAGCTTCTTATTCGAGTTTTGCATCCAAATTCAGTGTGTACATGATCCGAGTTCTAGTAACTTTCCCTCAGTCCGAGATCTCGGACCGAGTTCTAGTATCGTGGACACAAGGCTTAAAGACAAACCACGGACTAAGGAATAGAGGGACCGAGTCTAAAGTCCTAGTTTAGACGAGAGGGGATGGTAAGGGTGCCGTCACATACAGCCCGTATTCCGTAATCCGCACCGAAAGTCCGCAAAAGTTACTAGGTATTTCGTCCGTAACGTTACGTGTGTTTTTATCTCCTTGTGTCCCATGGAGCCGTAATTTCATGAAATTTCCGTAAAAGTTACTACAAGTTACTAGTTATTACTAGTAATGTCTTTTCTTAATTTTATTTATTTAACTAAATTTGATGATTTAATTAAACTTTGTTAAATTATAATATATTCTGTAGTTTTTTTATGAATAAAATACAAATAAATAATTATAATTTGTTAAATAAAAAATAGTACTACCGTTACGACTGTATTTACGGCTCCATGGGACACGAGGAGATAAAAACACACGTAACGTTACGGACGAAATACCTAGTAACTTTTGCGGACTTCTGGTGCGGATTACGGATTACGGGCTGTATGTGACGGCATCCTAATTCAAGCGTGCGGGGGGGACTGCTTTCCGCCATATTGATGTAGCGATTCTCACACAGAGATTCTGTGTCTGTGACATGGTTACACTCGTGTAGTGGTGCCACTAGACATAACGAGTGACAAGCGTAAAGAGGTTAGGCGGTTTTATTTTGTTGTACTATAAATTTTATAAAATACTTTAACTTTTATTACTCTGAGGCTCTGCATACAGTAGACAAAATATTAGAAATAGCAATAAACATTTAATATTAAAAAGAGAAATTATTTTACGTCTAACAAGAGAATAAAATATATTAATTAGTTCCAATTCTTATTTCTTAATTCATGCATTAATTTTTTCTATTCTTTTTATTTTTAAAATAAATAATTCCAATTTCTTATTTCTAATATTTAATAATTATTCCTATTTCTATTTCCTATTTTGTTTATTGTGCGCAGGATCTGACTTTCATTTCTCACATACGCAAATAGTGAGTTCTATGTGTGGTGATACTAAACGAATATGGCGCCCCCCCCCGCCGCAAACGTGCTCCACCGGTACAGCTTGTGCTCCGTCCCTCTATTCCTTAGTCCGTGAGACAAACCTATGGTTTTATTGTAAGAGGCTAGTCACTAGAAGGTTGCGTTCCCGGCCAATCAAATGCGTGCATGTCAGCCATGAGCCGTCATTGGCCGCTTGGGTTTCCCCAAACCAATCCGGTGGGTTCCCGCCAACGACAATGTTCTATGTTTTCATTGGTTCACGTGATCAAGCTAAGGCGATGTGAGTGTGGCTGCATGAGCATGACTTCGGACAAGAGAGTCTGAGGGTGAAATCAGATGATACGGAAAAGAGCTGCGGAACGGAGAGTGAGTCATTGAGACTTCTGTGAAGTTGGCCCCACATTTTTCAAAATTGAAAAAATGATTAGAGTTCTGGATGCCCCCCGAAGAGTTCTAGAGTTCTCAGACCATTTTAGAAAGAGTTCTGCCATTTAAAGTAAAGAAAACAACCATTTAAAAAATCGGGGGGACTAACTTCAACGGCGTCTCCTATTATGTAAAAATACCAAATTTTTTATTAGTTCTGAGTAGATTTCAAATAGTTCTATAGTTCTAGATAAGTTTCAAAAATAAGTTCTGCTCGAAATACTACGTAAATTAAATTTGAAATTCTCGACTTAGAAAACAAAAAATAGCATGAACTTATTCAATTTTGATTTTAGCGTTTCGAGTAAGGATAATCGTTAGAACTCGTGAGGGGCTATACAGAACTCTCAACAGAACTGCCGGTTATCGAGAAAAAATTTGTTTTTTTTTTCTAGGACTTACAAGGGGCCTTCTCGTTGTGCGCCACCTTGTCGTGGTGAGAAGGCTCACCGTGGGGTGGTCTATGGATCATTCCAAAATATATCATATAATTGTGGAGAAACCGACCATAAAGCGGAAAACTGCATAAAGAAGATCAGCTGTCCAATTTGCAAAAGCAAAGGACTAAAAGATAATCACAAGGTGGGCAGCCCTGAATGCCCACCATGTCTTCCAGTCAAATGGAGGCCAATCGAGAAGAACTCGACGGTCCCACTGACGAGAGAGGACACAAATATGGAGGTTGAGGACAATACGGCAAGATAATGGCCCTCACAATTATTCAGACTAATGCAAACCACTCTGGTGAGGCTCAAGATCTCCTCCTCCAGAATATGAGCGAGTGGAGAACGAGTCTTGCAATCGTAGCAGAACCTTACCAAATTCCAGAGAGTCCTAGATGGTGAAGCTCTACTGGTAAATTCCCCAAAGTAGCCATTATATGGGGAGGAGGTGACATAGGGGAAAACTTCCCCTGTATACTTATAGCAAGAACAGCTAATTGGGTAGCCGTAGATGGGGTAAAACTATTATTATAGGATGTTACTGCTCGCCGAGAACGGGAGAGGTAAAGTTCAGGGCCTTCCTCAGCTCGGTAAGTACGTTAATAGACCCCAATCTAGGGAGGCAAGTTCTGCTTATGGGAGACTTTAATGCGAGGTCTCTCCAGTAGGACAAAAAACAATCCAAAAAAGGAGAAATCATGGCAGAGTGGGCTGCTGGCAGAAGCCTTATTTTGGTAAACAGAGGTTTTACACCTACGTGTGTGAGATCCCAGGGAAGCTCCACAGTGGATCTAGCGTGGGCGACACCAGCTATGTTCAGTAGAATCAAAAAGTGGTACGTAGACTTAAAGAACCCTACGGCCTCCGATCACCTATATATTAGGATGACGTTGGGATCTTCACTGACTCTAATCAAAAGAAGAGCTAAAGAATCTAAACGTAGCTTCCCTAGATGGAATAAAAACAAGATAAATATGGATCGATTAACGGCCGCAATCACGGCCAAGACTTGGTGCGATAGGAACCACCTGGAGCAAAATGCGCAATCACAGGTGCATTGGATAGAAGAGGCATTACATGAAGCCTCAGATTTAGCAATGTCAAGAAGCAAAAGAAGACATCAACATAACACCTATCGGTGGTGCGAAGAAACTGCGTCTTTAAGAAATAAATGCATAAAAATAAGAAGGAAACTAACTAGAGAAAAGAAAAAAGATAAGGAAGAAGACAGTACTATAATAAAATCATTAACTAAAAAGTACAAAGAAACGCAGAAGAAACTACGGATAGCTATACGCAGAGCTAAAAATAATGCATGGAAAAATCTAATGGCAACAATTGGCCAAGATCCCTGAGAACGTCCATTTGAAATAGTGACCAAAAAACTGAAACCCCAGGCCATGCCAATAGTATCCACACTATCGCCGGATAAGATGGAGAAGATTGTAAACGCCCTGTTTCCGAAAGGGGATGCAGTCCAGAATCTAAGAAAAGAGCACTCTAATTGGAACTCAGAACTGGAAGTACAAGAGTATGAGGTTAAATTGGCCATGAGTAAGATACAAAACAACAAGGCACCGGGTCCAGGAGGAATCGTAGGAGTTGTGATGACGGGAACGGTGAAGTACTTGATCCCAACGCGGACCAAGTGTTTCACTTCCTGTCTGAAATGAAGGCAAATTCCCAAATAAGTGGAAAGTTGCGAATCTTGTTCTGCTTAGAAAAAAGGAAGGTCTATCCGATGAACCGAGTTGTTATCATCCTATTTGCTTAATAGATGAAGCCGGGAAGCTGTTGGAGAGGGTAATTGTAGAAAGGATTCATACTCACCTTAGAGATAACAATGCCCTCTCCGATGAGCAGTTTGGATTCAGAGAGAGAAGATCTACGATCGATGCCATAAACAGACTAAGATCATATTTACAGGAACAGACAAGGCAAGATAAAGTAGTAGTGGCAGTGGCACTGGATATAGCAAATGCATTTAATTCGTCGCCATGGAAGACCATCATCCGAGCCATGAAGGACAAGAGTTTCCCTGATTACCTGATAAGGATAATTACAGACTATCTGAGCAATAGGTGGATAACCTATATTGATCAGAGTGGTGGGATAACCAGAAGAGAAATCACTCGAGGAGTCCCACAGGGATCAGTTCCGGGTCCCACCCTCTGGAACATAGGATATGACGGAATTCTACAGTCTAAGAACTTAGCTGCAAATAGCACTGTGATCTGCTATTCCGATGACGCAATTCTTTCGGTGCACGGGTACACAGTTGAAGAAGCAGCAAAAAGAGCGGAAATTGCAGCGGCGGCACTCGTCCTCGAGATTGAAAAGCTTGGCCTTAGAGTAGCCCCCAGCAAAACAGAAGCGATGGCGTTCCCTTCAAACACTATAAAAAACAAGCAAATATATACATTAGTAAAAGGAGAATTAGTACAGGTCAAAAAACAACATTAAGTACTTGGGTATCATAACAGACGGAAGTTGGACGTTTGCCCCGTATTTCAAACATACCGTCCAGAGGGCGGAACAAACATTCAACGCTCTTTCGGGCATCATGCCTAACTCAAAGGGTCCAAAGGAACAAATAAGGAGACTGTACTCCAATGTAATACACTCGGTGCTCTTATATGGAGCGCCAGTGTGGGCGGAGAACATAACTAGAAATATACAGGTAAAAAGAAAGATCTATAGGTTGCAAAGAAAGATCTGTCCGAGGATGTGTTGCGGTTATAAGACAATCTCCTTTGTGGCCGCAACGATATTAGCCAGATGCACCCCATTGGATTTAACCGCTAATGTCTTAAACAAAATTTACAAACAAGTAAAAAAAAATATGGAACGGGAAGGCACATTTCTGGAACACTCCGTCAAGGTGAGGTTATGTCTTGAAGCTAAGAGAGAAGCAGTTAAGGAGTGGAAGATAAGAGTGACAACTAGCCACAATACCAGTGGTATTAGGGTGACCCAAGCTACCGTCCCACATCTGGAAGAGTGGTACAGGATGAAAAAGTGATACACCACATTTCACTGTACACAAAAAGTGTCAGGGCACGGGTGTTTTAAGGCATACCTTTTCAAAAATTAAAAAGGCTATTTTCCCGAATTGCGACCATTGCAATAACGGAATTGACACGGCCCAGCATACACTAGAGGTTTGTCCCGCCTGGAAACAGGAGAGGGATACGCTTCGGAGTGTGCTGAGCAGAAAAGTAGGATTAGATTTAAGATCCATTATTGAGGAAGTAATCAAAAACGAGGAAAAGTGGAAGACTCACATTTTTTTTTTTTTTTTTTTTTTTTTGTTTTTGCGAGAG